TCACTAACTAAAGGGGAGAAAGAGGAGACTGCTGCTCAGAGTAAAGAGGAGCATTTGTGCTGCTGTGCACTAGCAGCTCCTCTTCTAGTTCCTAACAGCTCTTGATTGGTTGTTCAGAGGGATCCTCAGGTGGCAGAAGGTAGTGGTACTGCAGCCACTTGCCATGGAGTCTGTGGGGAGGAATATGTGAGAGGGAGGGGAAGGCTTGTGGTTCATTCCCTTCAGCTTTGTGGGAATGACAGAGACTTTAGGTAAGTGAATGAGGAGCGGGGTTACTGTGGGTGTAGTGACACGGAGCACAGCCAGGGTCCCTGCCCTGTTGCTGCCTCTGGCCCGGAGCTCCTGTGAGGCCTTCACCCAGACAGGCCCCCTGGATGGGTTGGCAGTGCCCTGGGCCCCTGTCTGTGGAGGGTTGCCTGGAGGGACCTCTGATGCATGGAGGTAGCGTGGAGGCCTGTCCCACATGTGTCCGGATTGAGACCCTGGAGGGGCAGGTGAGGGAACTCCAGGCAGAGGTGAGCAGGCTGCGGGGTATCAGGGCAATTGAAGATGAGATTGATGGCTACTTACATTCTCTGCAGGACAAGATGCCTGGCAGAGAAGCTGTGAGGGAATGCCCTGAAGCAGATGCTGGTGAGTGGAGGACGGTCACCTCAGCGGCCAGACCTCTCACTGCAGAGATAGCTCCCCTGGTGCAGTTGGGGAACAAATATGAGGCCCTGGCTGCAGAATGTGCAGTGGGGGAAAGTGCACTGGAGGGGCCTGCTGCCATCACTAAGCAAGCTGAGGGCTGGCCAGGTAAGCAGAAGAAGAGACGCTGCGTTGTCGTTGTGGGTGACTCCCTGCTGAGAGGAACAGAGGGACCCATCTGTCGTCCGGATCCCACAGTGTGCGAGGTCTGCTACTTGCCCGGAGCCAGGATCAGGGATGTCACGGCGAGAATTCCTGACCTCAGCCAGCTCTCTGACAACTATCCCATGGTCCTTATCCATGTGGGAACAAATGATGCGGCCAGGAGTAGTCCAGACTGTATCATGAGTGACTACAGGACTCTTTGGACCAGGCTTAGGAGGACAGGGGCACAGGTGGTCTTCTTGTTGATCCTTCTGGTCAGCAGTTGCAGTAGGCATCATGTCACCTGTGTCAGAGCAGTCAACCCGTTACTCTGGAATTGGTGCCATCGTGTGGGTTTTGGCTTCCTGGACCACGATCCACGCTTCCATGCAAAGGACCTCCTGGGACACGATGGGATTCATCTCTCCACAAAAGGTAAGAGTCTCTTTTCTTATAGGTTGGCTGACCTCCTACATTGGGCTTTAAACTAAGTACGACAGGGGATGGGGAGGCAGGACATGGAGAGAGTCTAGAACCTACAAACTGCGAGACATTCAGCAGTACACCCCAGGTAAGTACCAAGGGTCCCTTTGGGCATCAGAACAGGGGGGCAACAAAGGCACCATTCAGAGGGCTCAAGTGCCTCTATACTAATGATAGGAGCATAGGGAACAAACAGGAATAACTTGCACTCCTGCTTGCAGATAATAACTTTGATTTAGTGGGGCTAACGAAAACCTGATGGGACCCTACCCATGACTGGGCAGTATGCATTGAGGGCTATAGGTTATACAGATGGGACAGAGTAGGGAGGAAAAGTGTGGGGGTTGCTTTCTATGTTAAGGAGCATTATACATCTACCCTAATCAAAATGGGATCAGAAAAGGAGAAAGTTGAGGCATTGTGGGTTGGGATACACGGAGGTCGAGGGGAAAGGGACTTGGTGGTGGGGGTCTGCTACAGACCACCATACCAGGAGGAAAAGCTAGACTTGAAATTATTGACGCAGCTCTCAGAGGCCGTACAGTCTAGGGACGTGGTTGTCATGGGAGACCTAAACTATCCTGACATCTGCTGGGAGAAGCAGTCAGCCAAATCCAGCTGTTCACGTAGGTTCTTACCCTGCATGCAGGACCTTACCTAATGCAGGAGGTATATGGTCCCACTGGGGGAATGCCTTACTGGACTTGGTGTTGGCTACAGGGGAGGACCTGGTAGGGGAGCTGCAGATCTGTGGTCCTTGGGGACAGTGACCACCAATCAATTTAATTCACCATAGGGTGTAGAGTGGGTAAGATAACTAGTAGGGTGGAAGTGCTTGACTTTAGGAAGGCTAACTTCACTGTGCTTAGGAGTCTAGTCAATGATGCACTGCAGGATAAGAGTATTGGCGAGATGGGAGTCCAGGAAAGGTGATTGTTTCTAAAGGAGGCAATCCTTCAGGTGCAGAGGGAGACTAACCCAGTATGAGGGAAAAGGGGGAAAGGAGCCAAAAAACTTCCTTGTCTAAACAGGGAAATCCAGGGGGGCCTAAGGGCAAAAAAGGAGGCATATAGGCAGTGGAAGCAGGGGGAAGCTACCAAGGAGGACTATGCCTACTTGGCCCGCACTTGCAGGGAGACAGAAAAGCCAAAGCAACTACAGAGCTGAGGCTGGCAAAACAAATTAAAGACAACAAAAAGTCTTTTTTTTAGGTATGTAGGAAGTAAAAGGAAGGCACAGGGCAGCATAGGACTCCTACTGAACAAGGAGCAATTAATGACAGATAGGGGGGACAAGGCTGAGCTATTCAATGAGTTTTTTGCCTCAGTGTTCCTGAACAGGGGTCAAGATAAGTCTCCTAATGAGTTCTTAGATGGGCAGAGGGACACCAGCCCACCAACTGTCGACGCTGACTTGATGCAGAGACACTTGGACGGACTGGATGTGTTCAAGTCGGCAGGCCCGGATGAGCTGCATCCAAGAGTACTGCAGAAATTGGCCGGTGTCATAGTAGAACTGCTGGCACAGCTGTTCAAGCATTTGTGGTGTTCAGGTCAGGTCCCGGAGGACTGGAAAAGGGCCAGTGTGGTCCCTATTTTCAAGAAGGGGAGGAAGGAGGATCTAAGTAATTATAGGCCAGTCAGTCTCACCTCCATCCTTGGAAAGGTCTTTGAAAAGATTATGTAGGATCATATTTGTGGGAGTCCAGCAGGAAAAATAATGCAGCAGGGCAACCACCATGGATTCGTAGCAGGTAAATCATGCCTGATCAATCTGGTTTCGTTTTATGACAGGGTCACAAAATACTTAGACACAGCAGTAGAGGTGGATGTCGTTCTCTTAGATTTTGGCAAGGCCTTTGATACAGTATCTCATTCCATTCTCATAAATAAATTAAGAGGCTGTGACATAGATGTTTACACGGTCTGGTGGGTGGCAAATTGGCTTAGTGGTCGCACCCAGAGAGTTGTAGTAGACGGGTCGGTATCGACCTGGAAGGATGCGTTTAGTGGGGTCCTGCAGGGTTCAGTCCTTGGACCTATACTCTTCAATATCTTCATCAGTGACTTGGATGTGGGTGTGAAGTGAATTCTGTCCAAGTCTGCGGACAATATTAAATTGTGGGGTGAAGTGCACACTCTGGAGGGTAGGAAACAATTGCAGGCAGACCTGGACAGGTTAGAAAAGTGGGCAGTACACAACAGGATGCAGTACAACAAGGACAAATGCAGAGTGCTGCACCTAAGGTGCAAAAATATCCAGCACACCTACTGGCTGGGAAGTGACCCTCTCAGCAGCCCAGAAGTGGAAAGGGATCTTGGAGTCATAGTGAACTCCAAGATGAACATGAGTCGTCAGTGAGATGAAATCATCAGCAAAGCTAACCGCACTTTATCACGCATCAGCAGATGCATGACAAATAGATCCAAGGAGGTGATATTTCCCTTCTATGCGGCATTGGTCAGACTGCAGTTGGAGTACTGCGTCCAGTTTTGGGCATCGTACTTCAAGAAGGATGTTGATAGACTCAAGAGGGTCCAGAGGAGGACAACTCATATGGTTAGTGGCTTACAGGACAAGCCCTATGAGGAGAGACTGAGGGACCTAGACCTCTTCAGCCTCCACAAGAGAAAGCTGAGAGGTGATCTTGTGGCTGCCTACAAATTCATTAGGGGACACAGCAAGGAATTGGAGATGCTGTGTTTACCAGGTGCCTCTTGGGTTAACAAGGAACAATAGTCACAAACTGACAGAGCAGATTTAGGCTAGAAATCAGGAAAAACTTCTTCACAGTAAGGGTGGCCAAAATTTGGAATGGGCTTCCAAGCGAGGTGGTGCTCTCCCTTACCTTGGGGATCTTTAAGAGAAGGCTGGATAGATATCTGGCTGGGGTCATCTGACCCCAGCACTTTTTCCTACCTAGGCAGGGGATCGGACTCGATGATCTGTTGAGGTCCCTTCTGACCCTGGCATCTATGAATCTATGAATGCTTAGTAGACCCATGGAGTATGCAGGCAAATGAGAGGTGTCAGGTGACTGCATTGGTGCCTGTAAGTGCATATCCTTAAACAGTTTTCCATGCTATAGTCCTTGCACATGCAACTAAGCCAACTAAGTATGGAAGTAAGGGTTAAGGACCCACCCAAAACCATGCATTTGGGCTGTGCATGGTGGCAGGCTGCATAGCAGTGATGCTGATACAGTATTATAACAACGTTGCATTCCTTAATTAAAAGGGCTCATATTTACTTTCTCTTAGTAGAGAAAAATCTATTTAAAATAGTTTTTAGAGTAGACTAAATTTTAGGCCCCTTAATATTTACACTTCTGTCTCACTATTTGAATTTCAGCTGTCTAATCAATACTAATAAGTGTTACTTCAGATATTTAAACAATAAAAGTATTTTCAGAATTACTATGGGGAAAATTATTCGATAGGATTTGCTACTCAGCAGTGAACAGCTATTTGCATGTTAGTTGATTTAAACATATTTTAATCCAAATCAGTTTGGAAATCTAAAATGGTTTTGCTTGGATTTAGAAAAATAAAATCCTTCAGATTAGTAAATGAATGTTACAACTTCTAAATACACTGAATTTTACATAAACCAGCTAGAGATTAGCTAGGTCTGATTGTCTTTGCAGGATGGAAAGAAGGAACACAATGAAAGCATATACTTACCGAACACTGCAATTTAAATGGTTTTGTATTAGTAGTGAAAGAAGTACACGTTATAGGGTCTGGGTGGCTGCCTTCATTCCACTGTGCCAGTATACTGTCATAATAAACAGACACATCAGCCATTGACAGTGCTTCTTTAACAGCTCTTTCGATTGCATTGTTGTTAAGGCAAGTAACATTTGAGCTAAGTGGAGGTTGTATGAGGTGTATGCGAGAACCATTAATTCCAAGAGATAAGAGGGTTTCTACTGTGGTGTAAGTGTCAATTGTATTCCCATAGACAATGACATTCCCTAAAAAAAAGGAGAAAAAAAATCTAAGATACACAATGAAAACCTTATTAGTGTAACTCAGATAATAATAATACAGAATTGCTCTCTTTGACCCTCTTATTTCTCTGATGCTATGAAGCAAACAATGTTACCTAGCAACAGTAGCTAAGATAATTTAGTAAAGAATCTGTACAAAACATCCCACGAAGTAGGGAAGTGCTTAACACAGAAGAATGATATTAATTATGACCCCAGAATTTGAAACTATTTTGATTAAAAAACTCTAGAATAAAGCCCTCTTTTATTTTGTTCCTTTCTGCCCCAGAATTATTTAGGGTGCCTTCTTAGGGAAACAGGATCAGAAGTAGGGCATACACATTTGCTTACAAGAGAAACATAATTTTTTTTTAAAAAGCTATAAAGTTCATGTAGAAATGAGGCCAGAGCATACCTTCTTGAATTAAGAGCTGCAGGAAAGGATTTTGGAAAAGAGAATCTCCCCTCATAGAGATTTCCTCACAGTTTCATCCATTAGTGAGTGTTAACATCCGTCTTAGGCAGACAAGGTTCCTTGGGTGAATTTGATATCTTTTATTAGACCAACCCAAATGGTTGGAGAATAGTTATTAAGCAAGCTTTCGGGTTCAAAAACCCTTCGTTTTGCTTAATAACTATTCTCCAACCATTTGGGTTGGTCTAATAAAAGATATCAAATTCACCCAAGGAACCTTGTCTACCTATGTCCTTAGACCAACATGGCTACAACCTAAACCCCTGTAAGGTCCGTCTTACCCACTCCACAAAAAATAAACCCATCCAAAACTCAGAAAAAAAGCTTTGCAGTGAGGACAAGAACCTAGGACTTGCCTCAGTTAGGTACCTACCTCTCTTGGTGCTCTAGATCTTGAGTGAGAACAGGTACCTTTCTTCCCCACATGTGCGCACTCTGAATTGCCTTTTGTAGGTACATAACTTTCCCCATTGACTGCTTAGTGGATAGTAGGTACTTAACTCTAGTTTGGAACACTTCCTGGGGCAAAGGGTTGACTTTTTTTAGGAATGCTGAAACCTATGTGGCACCTATGAGACTGACCACGGAAATTTACCTGTAAAAAGTGAGGCACCTAGGGTGCCTGTAGACAAGTGGGGAGGCTGCTCCAATGTGCTGTAATTACAGCATGTCAGAGCAGACTTCATTAATAGAGTCTGCTGGGGCATGCTAATTTGTGCACTCCAGAAGCCTTTGTGTCTCATTTATCAGCATCCCCATGCTTCAAAATGGCAGCAGGGGCACTTTAACTGAAGCTCATCAAACAAGTTTTAGTTAAGGTATCCAGGTTGTAGTCATATTGGTCTTGAGGCAAAAGGAATCAAAATTTGTGGAAGAGGTGATATCTTTTTATTAGACCAACTAGATATTTGCAAACACATTATTTATTTGCAAGCTTTTGGGCATATTCACCCTTCATCTCATTTCCACCTAGGAGAACTTTTACAATCTCTGCTCTCTCCTATGCCTGATGAAGGGTGTGTGCCTGAAAGCCTGCAAATAAATAAAAGAATCTGTCTGCAAATATATAGCTGGTCTAATAAAAGATATCACCTCTTCCACGAGTTCTGAAGCTTTAGTTACAGCACCCCCACTGCCATTTCGAAGTGTGGGGATGCTGATACATGAAATGCTGTGGGCACTTTAATTAAGAACACCCCCCCCCCGACATGTGTAAGAACGCCTCTAGGTAATTTAAGTACCTCCTGGTTGTGTGACAACTGAGATGGGGTTTTGAGGATCACCTGTCTCTTTGCAGAACCAGCTCTTGATCTCTTGCCACCTCTGTGGCAGCACAGCTCCACTGAACTTATCTTAGGTGGACTCCCAGGCAACAGAGGATCCTGGAAGTGGGGTAGGGTTATGGGAATGGGAACATGCAAAGCAGGACACACACAGATTGAGGCTGTAACTTTCCCTGGTAAAGTCTGCAGAGCTGGTAGGAGGAGGATGTGTGTACCTTTGTCTGTCCCTTCTTTGTGCAATCCCAAAGGATTCTGGGGAACATAATGAGGGTTCTGCCTGGAATGGAATAGTGGGAGTAGTTGGCCAGAGGTTCCAGGCCCTCCCTGCACATACAGAACCAGCCTGTGATCAGATAACCAACAACATGTATAGGGAGGAATGTACTTCAAGGGAAACCAAAGCGTTGAAACAGTTCAGACATTCCAATATGGGATATACATCTGGAATATGTAGTGAAGATGAAGCTGGCCTTACTGAATTTACAGAGCAATGAAGAAGAGAGTTTAGGTCCACAACTTTATTTCTGATAAAACTAGTCTGATCTTGATTTTGTTAGGATTTTTTTTGTTTGTTTTTTTTTGCATTTCAACATGTAAGGGGTTCTCTCTTTTTGCCGTGGTTACTGTGCTCACATTTCACTCAGAAAATATTTAAATGTGTGAGATGAAAAACATGAACAATTAAAGAGGATGGCTGAAAAAGAGAGTGAGCAATTCTCATTGTGGCATAATACAAAAACATTTTCATTCTAACTTTCAGGCCTGAAAGTCTCAGCAATCTAGAGTGTAGCAATTAGGCAGGACAATCTTCTTCAGAGGAAAGGTCAGCTGCTGTATTATATGTTGGCATTTCTGCATGTGTAAGACCAGAATTAAGCCCTGCATTTCTCAAGGGAAATTAATATCCTGTTTTATATAGTAACATTAAATGCAAAAACATTAGATTAAGAAAAACAATGTTCCTTTACTGACCCCATGTAAATCAACAATTTATGGTTTATGCTTATTGCAATATTAGAGAGTTTAGATTACAGTGATATTACTGTAGGAACTACACATATTCATTATAGATTAAAATTATGCCCATTAGATGGACAGGCAGCAATTCCTCAAGATGCTTTTATTATTTAACTGCATGAAAATGTATTTCTGTAAACATAATAATATTCACTGAAAAAACAAAAGCCATAAATAAAGACCATTACAGTAGCTTTATCATTTAATATTTGATGCCCACGTTCCACAGCAGAATGCTCTCATTCATTTTCTGTAAGTGGAAACACAAGATTCCTATGACCCCAGCATGACCTGAATCCTTTCAGCTTGCAAAAAATAAAGTAAAAAACCTGTACTTGGTACAGCAATAGTCACTCTGGTTGTTAATTCATGCACCGGAATTTTAATGCTACAGTATTTCTATGAACGTGCTTTTAATAAAGCAGTAAACTCTGTTTAGGTAAAGAGAAAAATAATTGATCCATTTTGGGCCATTAAAGCAGTTTTGTTCTTTGCTCCTATCCTGGCTTTTTTTGTTGTTTTTTTTACTTTCATGGAAAGCAGAGAGGTAATAGGAGATGAATTTCAATTAGTTTCAATTAGATGTATAATATGTTACAGTGCATTAGGCGGCTGGATTTTATCAGAGGAACCTTAGCACCAGCTCTGCAGCTGATTCTAATCCTGCTGGGGGGCCTCATTGGCAGAATGTGTTTCTGGAGCCTGGGCATAGAGGTACAGGCTATATGCAGCTCCACCCCTGGACCTGGCTCCTGGGCTAAGTACAGACAGTCAAAAAGGTTAAGGCAGAACCAATTCATTCTAGACAGCTTCTTCTAAGATGCTTAAGTTGAACCAATAACCAACTGAACTGACATTCAGTTTTCAACTGGGAAAGGCAGGAGAAGGCCTGCCCTGACCCAGGCCAGTAGGCATGGGGTGCTAGAGCACATCTCCCAGCTTGCTGACCATTGCCAGTGTCCCCGACTGGCTCCCTAGTACATGCCCCCAACCCCCTGCTGTCCTCCCCATAGTGGGTTAAGGAGCCCCTTGTCCAGGAGCTCACCCACCTTGGGGGAGCCTCAGGAAGTTTCCTCCAGCCTGGGTTCTCCAATCCAGACCGCCCAGGGGAGCTGAGAGAATCCCCCTCCATTCCTAGCTGCTGATCTCCTCCACAGGAGGGAGGGAGGGAGGGAGGAGAAGTCCTGCCAGCCGGGTGCCTGGGCATACAGCCCAGAATGGGGGCCCTGGGCAGCCCCAGGAAGCTGAAGGGAATTCTTCCCCTCCCGAACCCCAGAGCTGCTTGCCTTAGCTGCTGCAAGTCTCAGGCAGCCTCAGGGGGTGAAGGGAAATTCTTCCACTCCCCTGCAACTAGTCTTGCCTCAGACTCACGGCAGCTAAGGCAAAACCAACTATGCGGAAGCAGGAGAATTTCCCTCCATTTGGTTTATGTGTATCTTTTATCTCTAGCCCTGGAGCTCCGAAAGTGGATGGGACTGGGCAAGGGGTGAGCAGGGCTAAATCAGACAGGAGATGTGTTGGCTTACTGCGGTCCCAGCTCAGCAGGGAACTCTGAGATTAAAATTGCTTGAAGGAGGGAAGAGCACTCAGAGTGAAACTGTGGTGCCACCATTCGCCCATCCTCTGGTGGGCCACTTCCTCAGTGCACTTCACACTAAAGCCGTACATACCACACTCAATCCTGCTTTATTTAAAATAGGGACAAAATGGCTATGGATATTGATTGGTAGACATTTGGGCTTGGTGTTTAGCAGAGAAAAGAAAAGCACTTTAATCCTAACTTATAATACAATGTTGCAACCAACATTAAATTGACTAGCCCAAATAGGTTACACCTTCAAAAACAAACTTCAAGCATCAAGTGAAGATTTCCAGTCATTCCAAAGAAGGACCATCTCTACAGCTTAACGATTAACATCTCCCATGTTGTACTACAGATGGAATTGAATTTCTAAGTGTCACATCAATAGCTCAACAATTCTCATTAGCCACTTTCTTGTTTGGAGGAGGGTGACAGAACGGTATTTTTCATTATCTTATTCAAAATCTCACTTATCCTTTAGTTGGCATGTGTTTATAACCCAACATATTAGTAAGCATATGATCATGATTCATAATAATCATAACTGATGTTCCTAATTTGTAATGATCTCATCAACTGGTTTAAACACAAAGGTTAAGAGCACTGAGATAATTCTCTCATGGAGTAT